TTTGAAGTGTCTGGTTTCCCGTCTGTGAGCCATCTGTCCCTCCGCAACAGGTTCACTGGCTCTTCTCCAGAGGGACACAAGGTCCACTTCAGATGAGGTGTTCCCAAGGGGCTGAGGGAACAGCTCTGCTTCAGGGGCCTCTGCAACCCTCTCTTAACCTCAGTATCCACCACCATCAGCTGGTCCAGCTCACAGAACAGCTGCGGGGCCCCCGGGGACGAAGGATGGGGCTATGGATGTGACTGCCTAGTGTATCCAGCCCCCCCAGGCCCAGTGTTCGGGGAAGCCTCTGCTCACAGGCCCTGTGAGTCACCCCTCCCTGACCTCCTACAATACTGGCAGCCCTTTGTGCCTGGTGGAAGGCGGCGGGAGGCAGCAGAGAGCGCCCAAGCTTTAAGTCTAATGCTCAGTTCCACCAGAGATTCACCATGTGACCTGTGTTCTTAACCTTCAAGAGGAGAACATTAAGACCAACCTCATGAGGCAGCTGTGAGGTATAAAGAATGATGCCTGGGGCCAGCCCTGTAGCCTAGTGCTTAGTGGTTAAGGGAGTCAGATACCAGATGGCCAACCAGGGTTCAAATCCTGGATCCAGTGGCTTGAAAAACACACTGGGCATATGTGCATACATGCCCCAAGTCCTGGTGGGATGGAAAGTGGAGGAGAAGGAAGCAGCACGACCATGACCATGTCCCACTGACGGGGGTGCTTTCTCCCCATCCACCACTCCCCGTCCCACAAATATATGTGCTCTCTATCAAGATAGATAATCAAGACAGATAGATAAAGAGTGATGTCTGGGGCCAGCTAGGTGGCATGGTGATTAAGACAAATGAATCCCACATGGCCGACTGCATAGTTCAAATCCTGGACCAAGCAGCTTGAAAAACACACCAAAAGCCTATGCAGGCGTGCCCAAAATCCCAAAAAGAGAGTGGAAGATAAGAGATTGTGGTACGTCCATACTCCCCGTGCTTTCTCATTCTCTCTCTCTCTAGCAAGTGCATGCACCTTAGAGTGAAAACTCAAAAAAAGAGAAGAGTCATGCCTGCCCAGTGGTGCAGGACATAGGGCACCGCTCTGCAATGCTGAAGCCAGTGGAAACCTGGGGTTCCTGTCCCAAATCAACCTGAACTTCCCAGGCATCCAGGCCCCGTGGGCTGGGAGGCTAGAGTGGAAGGACTGCAGTGGGGCCAGTCCCAAGTCAGTGGTATCTGTCTCTTTCTCTCTCTCATGGGAAAATAAACTTTTTAAAACATAAAATAAAAAAGGGTGATGCTGGAGAAAGGCCCAGCACAGCGCCTGGTGCAGGGCAAGTGCTCTATAAATTCTGGTTGAACAGGTGACACACAAAGGCCTTCCCACCTCTGGCCTGCTGAAACGGAGGTGTGGCACCCCGGGGGCGCAGGACTATGTCTCTGGCTGATGCTTAGGCACTGAGAGGACTGGGTATTCAGAGCAGAGGTTAAGATTCAGATGCTGGAGCCTTAGAGGCACGGCTTCTGGTCCAATGTATGCCGTGTACTTGCCGCGCGACACTGGGCAAGTTGCTTCATCTCTCTGAGCTTCAGTTTCCCCTTTCCACACCTTTTTTTTTTTTTTTTTTGGACAGGTTTTTGCTATAGGGCGCATGTGCTTGCAAGAAAGACAGAGAGACAGAGAGAGACAGAGAGAGAGAGAGAGCAAGAAATCACCCCGCCCCGGGCGGGGATGGACACCCCACAGTCCCTTTTCCTCCATTCTCCTCTTGGGATCTTGGGCACACATGCACATGCTCCCATGTGAGTTTAAGCCACCGGGTCCAGGACCTGAACCACAGTCGACTACATGGGAGTCAAGCGACGTAGCCTTTACGCCATCTGCTAGCCCTGCTTTGAGAGTTTATAGCTTAAAGTTAATCATGTGGTATTGTATAATTAGAAGTGTTTCATTTTACACAGTAAAAAATGGCGTCGATTCAGGGTCAGAGTTCTGTAGCAAGTCAGATAACAAAGTAAGTGGAGTGTCCCTAACCTCCCCCGCTCTGCTTCTCAACCCCTCTACCTTTGTTTACCTTTTCATTCAGCAATCATTTGGTAAATGTCTTCCAGGAACTTGATGTTTTGCGCAATGTTGGAGATGTAATGATTAATTAATACTTTGCCATCTTTTTGTTTTGTTTTGTTTTTAAGTCGGGTGTAATAAGAGGCAATTGTTGGGGTTAGGAAAGTGGAGATTTTTTTTCTTTCATATATTTCTTAGGGATTATATATCTGTGGAGATTGACCCCATCTTTGCCAATGAAAACTAGACCAACTCAAGTCTCTTTCAAGTATTTTTTACTTATATTATTTGGGATTAATATGATTGCTCTGGTTTTGTGTGTGTGTGTGTGTGTGTGTGTGCCTAGTAGTAAAGAAAAATCAGGTCTCATCTACTCTCTCTTTTTTTGTTTGTCTTTTAGCAAAAATTTTATCTCAGTTGTTGATCTCAAAACTCAATTTGTCCTTGAGTTGTTGAAATGAAGTTAGCAAAGAAGACATACTATCAGTCTGTCAGATCTCCAGTTTAATTCCTATAGTTAAAATTTGACATAATTTTCCCCAAGATTTTAGTAGTGCCCTTTCTCCTCCTTCTTTTTTAATTTTTTTAAAAAAAATTTTGGGGACCAGCAATTAGCCTTATGGCTATGTTGCTGAACTCCCATGTAGTCGACCGTGGTTCAAGTTCCAGACCCAGTGGCTTACACTCGCGCTGGGTGCATGTGCATGCGTGCCCAAGATCCCAAGAGGAGAATGGAGGAGAAGGGATTGAGGCGTGGCCATCCCCTCTGGGGGGTGATTTCTCTCTTTCTGTTTCTCTGTCTCTCCCTGTCGTTCTGGTGAGCACACGTGCCCTATAGCAAAAACCTCTAAAAAAAAAAAGAAAAAATATTTCATTTTTTATTGCTATGGGGCGTGTGCTTGCCAGAGAGTAACAAAGAAAGAGAGGGAAAGTGAGAAAGCAGCCCTGTGGGGGGTGATCACACCACAGTCTCTGTTCTGGATTTTAGGCTTGCATGCTCATGTGCCAGCCTCACAGAACAGCTGCGGGGCCCCCGGGGACGAAGGATGGGGCTATGGATGTGACTGCCTAGTGTATCCAGCCCCCCCAGGCCCAGTGTTCGGGGAAGCCTCTGCTCACAGGCCCTGTGAGTCACCCCTCCCTGACCTCCTACAATACTGGCAGCCCTTTGTGCCTGGTGGAAGGCGGCGGGAGGCAGCAGAGAGCGCCCAAGCTTTAAGTCTAATGCTCAGTTCCACCAGAGATTCACCATGTGACCTGTGTTCTTAACCTTCAAGAGGAGAACATTAAGACCAACCTCATGAGGCAGCTGTGAGGTATAAAGAATGATGCCTGGGGCCAGCCCTGTAGCCTAGTGCTTAGTGGTTAAGGGAGTCAGATACCAGATGGCCAACCAGGGTTCAAATCCTGGATCCAGTGGCTTGAAAAACACACTGGGCATATGTGCATACATGCCCCAAGTCCTGGTGGGATGGAAAGTGGAGGAGAAGGAAGCAGCACGACCATGACCATGTCCCACTGACGGGGGTGCTTTCTCCCCATCCACCACTCCCCGTCCCACAAATATATGTGCTCTCTATCAAGATAGATAATCAAGACAGATAGATAAAGAGTGATGTCTGGGGCCAGCTAGGTGGCATGGTGATTAAGACAAATGAATCCCACATGGCCGACTGCATAGTTCAAATCCTGGACCAAGCAGCTTGAAAAACACACCAAAAGCCTATGCAGGCGTGCCCAAAATCCCAAAAAGAGAGTGGAAGATAAGAGATTGTGGTACGTCCATACTCCCCGTGCTTTCTCATTCTCTCTCTCTCTAGCAAGTGCATGCACCTTAGAGTGAAAACTCAAAAAAAGAGAAGAGTCATGCCTGCCCAGTGGTGCAGGACATAGGGCACCGCTCTGCAATGCTGAAGCCAGTGGAAACCTGGGGTTCCTGTCCCAAATCAACCTGAACTTCCCAGGCATCCAGGCCCCGTGGGCTGGGAGGCTAGAGTGGAAGGACTGCAGTGGGGCCAGTCCCAAGTCAGTGGTATCTGTCTCTTTCTCTCTCTCATGGGAAAATAAACTTTTTAAAACATAAAATAAAAAAGGGTGATGCTGGAGAAAGGCCCAGCACAGCGCCTGGTGCAGGGCAAGTGCTCTATAAATTCTGGTTGAACAGGTGACACACAAAGGCCTTCACACCTCTGGCCTGCTGAAACGGAGGTGTGGCACCCCGGGGGCGCAGGACTATGTCTCTGGCTGATGCTTAGGCACTGAGAGGACTGGGTATTCAGAGCAGAGGTTAAGATTCAGATGCTGGAGCCTTAGAGTTTTTTTTTTTTTTTTTTGGACAGGTTTTTGCTATAGGGCGCATGTGCTTGCAAGAAAGACAGAGAGACAGAGAGAGACAGAAAGCGAGAAATCACCCCCCGGGGGTGATTTCACGCCACAATCCCTTCTCCTCCATTCTCCTCTCGGGATCTTGGGCATGCACGCACACGTGCCCGGCGTGAGTTTATGCCACCGGGTCTGGGACTCGAACCACGGTCGGCTACATGGGAGTTCAGCAACATAGCCATTACGCTAACTGCTGGTCCCGCCCTTTCTATATCTTAAAGATAAGATATAGATCATTTAGTCAGCATGTATCAACATATCTGATCGGCAAGTGTGACAAAATGACCATTCTGGTGACCACGACCCATGAGGGCTGACCACAGCCAGCTACCATGCAAGGAGCTGGGGTTGTACCGGCCCCACGGGCAGAGTCTGCTCTGCTGCCTGGCTCTGGCGGTGGTTAGCACGGGGACACCATGGTCACAGCCGAGGACTCCCGGGTGCATGGGTCACAACCCCTGCTGGCCTATGCACTGTGCCAGCCACGGCACCCCTCTACCTCCCAGTGGGGCCGAGGCCAGGGCTCAGGGCACTGCCTCACTTAATGCTCCCAGACCCCCTTTAGGACCACTCACCAGGATGGTCGTGACCACCAGCGTCTTGTTGGCGAGTGTCTGCGACAGGTTGATGTCCAGAGTGGTGGCATTCATGGCCAGGGTCCGGTTAGAGTACCACACCCCGATCTGGGGGCAAAGACGGCACCATCGGCACAGGCCCTCACCTGAAGCGGCCACCCCTGGGCCCAAGCCCCTCCCTGACCCAGTAGGGCTCCGGCATCGCCCTGGGCCTGCTCACCTCACGGTGACCCTGCCGGGACTTCTCCAGGACGCGTAAGGTGTAGTTGGTCCTCTGCCCTTTGCTGTTGAACTCGACTCGCCCGGTCAGCCCATCATACTCTACCTAGCAGGGCGGGGAGGAGGGGCGGGGGAGAGGCAGGAGCCCAGAGAGGAGTGGGAAAAGCTCGGTGGGGACGAGACATTCACAGAGACAGCCACAGAGATGGGTGGAGGGGACAAGGGAGGGACCAAGAAGGACCACAGTCAAAAGAGCAAGACAACACACAAGGAAACAAGGGGAGGGGGACAGAGAAGCAGAGAAGGAGCGAGATGCAGCGAGCAGGAGGGAAAGCAGCCCGAACGGGCAGAGGGACGGCCGGTGGGGAGGGGACAGAGGAGGCAGAATGAAGCGGAAGGTGAGGCGGTGCCAGAGAGTTCAGAGGCAGCGGTTGGGGTTGAAGGTGGGGGAGAGGCAGAGGCCGCAGGGTGGACACAGTGAGTGCCCCCTGCTGTGGTTGCCGCCTGCTCCTCCGCGCCCCCGCTCCCAGCTCACCATGCGCAGGTAGTTCATGAGGCTGGTCCCGTGGGGCCAAATGTTGGCCGACGTACAGGCCAGCGGCTTCACCCCAATCTCCTGGCTGCGGTTCAG